GTAAATCTCAATTATCTGTTTTATATATACGAATGAAAAGGATAAAACGTGATGAAAAAAATTCGTACTACATCAACACAGACTAACATATTGTCTGTAAAAATGTTAAAGAAATACCAGATCAGTTTTGGTACATATACAGCTTGTTGTATCTGTAACAAGTAAGTTGCGTTTGATGTCAGTACCTTCGAAGGGTTTGCTAACTACTCGTAAATTTTATCGCTTCTTTGAGGGTCGCTTCTTGCAGGGATAGTTCAGCGCGTCAGACGTTTGAAACGTTTCTTCCACGTAAAAAAATTTAAGCAGGTTTGAATTCAGTAAGGGTGCATAAGAGTTGATTAAAGTGGTTCAGGGTTTGCGTTTAAACGGGAGCGAGAACTTGAAGTATCGTCAAGCCTTGTTCTTGTTAGACGAGGCCTTAACAATTAGGAAGTGGGCTACTAGACTAAATAAAGAACTATGTTAAAACGTCAAATTGCTTCTAAGTGATTAATAAGTTTGTATTGAGCGTTGGTGTATGATGTTTCTGTTCCATTTTAGAGCACTGTTGGTGCAGATTCCTGGTCAGTATACCGCAGATATCGCAAGTTCCGAGAGCTGCACAAGACAATGAGAAAGAATTACTACGAGGTAATGCTGATAAAATTGCTTCTTCTTCAATTTTCATAACCTATCCAGGGTTTTTTTCAGCTTAACAGGGTGACGGAGACCTCGCTCTAGTTTTTACTGGCGTGGAGAATTTGGAGATAAAAATAGAAACGTTTGAGTACTTTCTCAGAGAATGCTAAACACAGTTCTGTCATCTTCCCCCCTTCCGGGAGTGAGAGAGAGGGCAGGAAGATGAACGAACCTGGGAACGAGGTTGACACTCTGTTAGTTTTCCCGACAAGATTACCATAATAGTACTGATGAAAAATCTTTTGCTACACGGTTAAACCAAACAGGGCCTAGTTTTACAGATTAATGTTTACAGTGAAAGTTTCTTCTGCTGTTTTAACTGGTTTGGTTTGTTTCTCCTTGTGACTTACTTAGTTTTCCATTCGTTGTTTTCCAGGTTGGTAGCTTGGACTTTCCTAACCGCCGTTTTTTCGGTAACAGGGCAGAAGAGTTTGTGAGAGCCCGGAGAGCGCAACTTGAGGTCTGATATGAATTCGTATTTACTTTAGAGTCAATTAGAACGGTTTTCAACTGAGTGACGTAACAGCAAAACCAAACCAATTACTTCTCAATTAGACTACTCAGCCAATCTCAAACCGTAGTAAAACCAAAACCAAAACCAAAGTAATTGCCTGATTGCTTTCGACACTCAATTGAAAGCCGCTCTATAATAATACATTCTAGTAGGCTGCTAAAAACTTGCTCATAGAGCTTTAGAGATTTTTTGAGTTAATCGTTTTGTTTGTCTAAGAAGCTTTATACAGTACTGTAAAAAACAAAAACTGAGAGAAATTAATGTTTCTTTGAGAAAATAACAGGGGTTTCCCTGAATAGTTAGATTTTATAAATGTTAAATATTTTAAGGTTCTTTAATTACCAGTATGGTTTTTTGAGCCCCGCTCAAATTGCCTTAATGATCTTTTGATTTGTTATTTCTTAAAATAAAATACAGCATAGTAAAACGTATGGAGCTATCGTTTTTAATCTATCAACTCAACACGAATTTTGTTTTATCTTCCCAGACGTACCTTCAGTCATTCATTGGACTGTGCTCTAAAATTCCAGATTGTCCCATATCATCGATGACCGGCCGGCCTCTCACTAAACGGGACCTGTGTGACTTCGCGCCATTTTTCAAACAAGGCATCTTTGAGCAAACCAAACACTACTCTGGGTAGTCCTCTGGGTAGTCCTCTGGGTAGCTATAGAGGAGTGGTCGAGCCGTGGTAATTGTACAGGATGTTTACTGCGTTCAAACGCATAAAGCTCACGTCATTTCCTGTTTTCTTTGCTTTGGTATTTTTAAGAGTTCGCGCAGTAGTAAACAACGTTACGAGCCGATAAAATACGTAAATAAGATTTGTTTAATTTCCTATATATCTGCGGCGTAAAAAGTTTAATGTGTTTTTTATTGACGGTAATGTCTTTTGACCAGAAGGTCGAGGAGTTCAGAAAATTGAGACTCTCGCAAGCGGCAAATTTGCCGGAAACTTCGCCCGCGCAGTGTGTTCGACCGCTGTGGGTCCTGGTAACGACCAGCTGACATCAAAACGTTCAGATTGGTCTTTCTTGCTGTGATTGGTCGATAATAGATCGTAAATTTCCGGATTCTTCCTCGAAGATTTGCTTGAAACAAAGTTTTACCTGCTTGAGAAAGAATTGATTCGCGTTTATAATATGAACTCTGGCGCAGAAGAATACAAAAAATACAAATGGTTGGAATTATCGAGAATTTCCGATGGATTAATTTTTCCATAAGATCTTTACCAGTAATGTAGATCTATAAATTTATTCAGTTTATGCCTTCTGGTTAATGCAGCTGACAGTTTATTCTGTTTTTGTGATTTATAGATGTATATATTTTCCTTTTGGTGCAGTTTACGGGTAGAACCTTTTCCTTTGCGAAGAGGTTTTTCTTGTGAAGGAGAAACTCTTGCTTACTAGTTTTGGTAGTAAAGAGTAAGGATGTAACAATTCTTTGTACATTTTGTAATACGATGGTCTACTGACGTAACGCAAACGTATCACAACACAGTGGTGTGTGACATGTTTAACTTTGTCACGCAAGTTAAATAGGTAACGGTGTACTTATTCTTTCCCCAGGAAGGTTAGAAGTGGTAGTTTTTATGGTGTCAATTGTTTGAGCGTGCAAAATGAAAAGAAACTTTTCATTATCAGTAATTCCTTTCATAAATTTTTCACTGGTATCGATGGAATTTTGAAATTCTATTTATGTGAATTCCAAGTTGACTTCGAATATTTTGCTTATTTAAGTTATTGGCTTCCAGTACTCACTTGATAACCGAATTGTGGAAAAAAATCGTGGAATTCATAATGCAGTGTATGAATATAAAAATAAAAATTGTGTAATATTAAAAGGATAGTAGGTAGTAGGTGGTCAATTTTCAAGTGTAGGTTAAATATCTTTTACGTACGGCTGTATAGAGAAACTTTGTAGATAATGACGTGTCTATCTTAATACAAGATGCAAAATATCCATTATATTTCTCCTCGATTTATAACGTGGATACTTTATGGATGCTATCTCTAAAATATAAAATAAATTTTTTGCCAGTGGTAGTCAGTCTCACTTACTGGGTTTATGACGTTTGTTTGGGTGTAAACAAATTGAACCATACAATTGCTCTGTTTACGGTGATCTTGATTTTTCCTGAGTGCACGTGATAATGCTTAATCTGGTCAGAAATCAAACAAACCTCGATATAATTGATCTCTTTGCCTACTGTGCTTAACTGTAACTACAGGCTCAAAGTACAAGAATACAGAAAGGATAGCGCTCTCCCGGAGGGGGGGGGGACACCCATATAAAAAGGATGGGGTTGCCCGTCGGAAATTTTAAGAAAAACACCTAAGAGGTGCCAAGATCCTCTTTTGTGGGCGTGGCTTGAAATTTTTTCCTCCTAAACAACACATTAGCTGACACTGACATTTTCAGCTCATTCCCTTAAGAGGTACCGCGAAAGCTCGCGCTGTGGACCTTTTGAGGCTGAACATCCAAAAGAGGTACCAAAACCAGGGCTGTCACTAAGATGCTCGGCAACTTTGGGGCAACTTTTCCGAGCAATTTGGGGCAACTTTTGTTATTTGGAGCAACTTCTTAACACAACACTGCAAAATTATAACAGACCAAACTGACATATGAAGCTTTTTTTTTCGCTTTCTTGGTCACAACCGTCACATGTGGTATAGTTTTTTAAACATTTTTACGTTTTAC